CGTATTCTGCCAACTTTCGGCTTCCCCTCCTCCACATCAAAAGCATAGGAATGCTCGGTCTATTATATATGTCGTTGGGATGGACGCGACGCGTAACGCGCTCAGTGGGAACGCACCCTAAGTTTGTTCGGTAAGCAGCCCTCTTCTCTTCGTTCTGCCCTGTGATTGGCGCGCAAAATTATATCCTGATGCCGACCGACTCGACCAATAGTGTCGGCGATTGTTTCAGCTTACGAAAATGTAGCATCAGTCTCTCTGACTTAAGTCTTAAGTGGAGTCTGGTCTGGGGAGTCTGTGGAGTGATATTGTGTAATTATACGTGTTTATGGAGTTGCGAATAAGTTAAAAAGCTCGAAACTGATTGAAACACGGGCATCGGAATTCATCCGGTATAAACGGTGAATGTGCACGCTGACACACGTGAATGTACCATACACACCTTGTGAATGTTAACGAAAGATAAATGAGTTTGCAAGATAGCTTGTTTTCCGAGGATGTCGAATACGACGTAAACGTCTTTACGAAGGATAAGACACGTAAGAGGTACGAGAATATTATAACAAAAATTCTTAAAATAAAATTGAAACACATAGTATGAAACGCCGACGTTATCTTTGAAGGTTAGTTTCTCTCACGGTATTCGTTTATAGCTGCAAACACGTAATGAACAGTTTCGTTTTCTTTTGACTATTTAATATCTTTCTATATTTGCGTGTGAGAGTGTGGGTGAGGGAGGATATATATATATATATATATATACACATATATATATATATATATATACATACGCCAGAGGCAAGATTCCTCATGTTTTCTCAGAAGGAGACACGAGTGTCGCATTCCCATTTCCCAAGCCTAGTATAGGCATTTATAAATAGCATAAGATATAAGATATACATATGAATGGTTAATTTTCGTTTTTATTCCGAGTACAAAGCTTATGATTCCATTTTTTATCTCATTGTCAGTAGTACTGCTCCTATCTATTTATACTCATATGTGCTATATATTTTTGAGATTGATGCCGTTTCAATTAATGTAAATAGTTTTAGACTTAATTTGTTGAATGATAGTACTTTCATTGTTACAATCACATATTGGGATTATTGGGATTTGTACATATGTACATTCATAAGATAATGTATCACTATTGAAATAGTAAAATCTTGAAAAATTGTATGTCTTGCATTAGATTGTACACTTGCAAATACCTAATTTTTTGCAATATGTATTTTTGCAATGTAATTTTTTGTATTATTGAATTATTCTATCCTAAGAATATAATTTGGATCTTTGATTTTTGACTAATTAATATTGAAATTGAATAAGTCGGTATATTTATTGCTAAAGTACAATTTGCGATTTTAAAACATATAATTGGATTCTTATTTACATGATCACAAACGTGACATATTTATTCGTTCCTACACGCACGTGGTTACATTAATTTAAGACATGTGCTTATATGATTTAAAGCAACGCACTCTATTCTTTGTGATTCAAGATATGTCGTAGTATATCTAATTTAACTAGTTTTTCATTTTCATGCTGTTTAACGACATGCAATGCAAGTGGATGTTTTTCCTTATGATTGCTTGGGCTATGCATTGTGTATTATGTATGTACATATTACGCACGATATGTCGCCATTCTTCGCTCTTATTATTAGGCGATAAAAGAAGAGGACGAAAGAAAATTTGTGATACAAGTCGTAAGCGTCGATGTCGACGCGCTACGCAAGTCTTTCAAGGAAACGAACGAGGGAGAAAGTGAACGGGTTATGTAAAAGTTAGCTGGCGTTTATCGTCTTTTCCCCTTCCATCCTTGTCTCAAACCAATGCCGTAAGGCATTACGTTCACCAAAACGAACGAAACGGCTGATACTACTACTAGCTACCGATATCCCGAATTCAAACAGCAGTTTGCTCCATCACTTTCTGCAGCGAGAAACGCATTGTTTCTTTTCACTTTTGCAGAGTACTCGTCTTTCCACCCGTCAATAATTATCGTCGGTACATAATACACCAGCTGATACAGGATCGTTTCCCAGATTTGCTGCATACATTCTCGATTGGCCAAGGCTCGGCTAGGCGTACCGTAGTATGTTACAAGAGTGATGTGAGAAGGTACAAAATGTAACAAAATTGTCAAGAATTTTCGTCAGCTGCGACGCTAAGCTATGAATTTTTTCGCTAAAATATTCAATCGAATCACCTAGCTACGAATGCGTAAATGATTATTTGCGATTTTTTTTTCTCACCAATGACTTTTCGCAACAATCCAATTTTCAGATGTCAATACGTATTTAAATTATATTTAATTAAGAATGACTTAGAATACTTAATTCAAAAAAATAACATATTATTGTTTTTGTCAATAAAGAGATTGGGACCCAAAACCGAATTTTCCTGAGTGTAAAACAAATTTTGCGTCAACGCAAAAGGACACAAATCGCGGAATGGGTATCGAAGGCCGATGCTCGCCCTCGATGTCTCCAGAATGTAAACTGCAGCGACAAGGTGATTATATGAATGAAATATTTTTATCTGTACATGATGATTTTCTAACAGTTACTATAAACTATAAAGTAGTAGATATGTTTAGGAAACATATCGTACCCTTGCTTCAAAAGTGATACAATTCAAGAAATGAGACTTTTTAATAATTACCATGAATAAGTTCGGTTAAACATTATTTTATGAATCATCAAAATTCCAGGAAACTTAATTTTTGTTAAATTGTGTCATTTTTTTAAGAGTGTGACACACACACACACACACACACACACACACACACTATATATATATATAACATGTATGAACCAACATGTGCTACATATTTGAATAAGTTAATTGATAATGTCATGCCACATGACATTATCAAATGAGATACATTTCAAAACAATTCAGTTATGAGAGTCTTAATTTGAATATTCATTGGATTTTTAGCTAAATCAATACCAACAGTTGAGATTTATAGACCACCAGCGGCTAGAAAGCTTAACAATTGCTCACGGATAAATAGTATACAGACACAATTACAATCGACTACAGATGTTTCTTCAGTCAAGTAAGTAAACTTGCACTTTTATACTCAGAATAATTAGAGAAATCCTACTATTTAAAAAGTCATATTATTCCATTTAAAAAGGTAAAATGACCTGCATGTCTCTATGAAAAATCAAATTGATTTTATTATTACTAGTACATAACAGACGCGCGCTGCGTATTGAATCCCATACATCTTCCAATAACATTTATACCAATTTACATTTTAATTAAACAAATGTTAACAATTTTTGATAAAAAATAAATTTTCAAAAAAAAATGACGCTTTGCGCGCGGTGCGTATTAAACTCCATACATCGTCCAATAACATTTATACCAAATTACATTTTAATTAAACAAATTTTAACAATTTTCAATAAAATGACGTTTTAATCGCTTATATTGAATCGGCCATTTTTAAATAAAATCACGATTTTTTAGAAAATAGCCACATAAAATTCATCTTTAAGATAAGCCCAGAAAGAAGTTGATATTTTTATTTTTCTGGAAGATATGAATTTTTAAACATTGGGGAAAAGAAACTTCAATGCAGATAACATGGCATTTGATTTTTAAGATAGGAAGAGCACA